TGGGGAGTTCTGCTCCTGGTCCGGGCCTGTGCCCTGCAGCTCCTGATCATCCTCACCGCACATGAACATGCAAGCACGCCCCAGTTCTCTTGCTTTTCCACACACACACAGCTCAGACTTCCCCCAGGGAGGGATGTGGTTTGCAAAAGCTGGTTTGCACAGTGGGGAGGCTTTGGGCTGTGGGCAAAGGGATGTAAAATATATAGAAGGAAAGAGCAAGCAGATGCTGCAGGAGTGAGAGGAACAAGGAGACCTAGGTCTGCGCCGGAGCCTGCCTGGGTGTGCACAGAGCATTCAGCAGGGGCTGGCCGGGGCTTTGGCAGGCACCCCTCACCCTCGGAGGCAGTCTTTGCTGCCAGGCTTTGTCCTTCACATGTGTCCTTCAACACAGTCTTAGCAGTGAGTGGCACTCTGATTGCCCCCATTTTACAGATGAGGTTGGGGATGTTGTCACCCAGCAGGAAGTGACCATCTTGTTCTGGAACCTGTGGTCTGAAATGGGCTCCACCAGGCCAAAAGGCACTGCTTCTTGCAGAGGGGCTGTGGCCGCCACCCCTGCTCTCCCATTTCAGGGCAGTTTTTAATTAGCAGACTGCACAAATGTGAAATGACGGCCCTGAATTGTCAGGATCGCATGAGGGTGTGGCCACTGCCCAGACCACATCATTGTGTGTTCCTGTCGCCCTGGCGGGCTCCTTGTGCCCTTTCACAGTAAAGACGCAATTTTTTTCTCAGCTTCTTCGTGAGCCCTCTGCAAAGTAGTGAGCCTTTTTCTCCTCTCGGTGACCTCTGGGCTCTGTGTGTGATCTGTCTCATCTCCCAGCCTCCCTGGCCCCTCCTATCTTGCCCTTTTCTCTCCTCAGCACCTTCTTTCCTCTCCCTCTTGCCTCAGCCACTACATCTTTGTGCCTTTGGTCATATTGCTTGCTTTCTGCAGCCTGTTTCCCTTTGCCTCTGTTCCCCAAGATTTCAGGTAGGGGGAGACTTCAGTAGATCTTAGGGGGTGATGGTTCTGTCCAGGCCTGGAAAGATGGGCCCACTCCTGGGCATCCTGACCCTGCTCCCCACGCCCTGGCCTCCCCTTCTGGTCCCAGGCAGGGATACGGCCATCTCCTTGGACAGCCTCAGAAGCGCAGGTCACCCTTGGTGGCCCCCAGTGCTGGGCAGTCTGCAGACAGGAAGTTCCTTCCCTGGAGTCCCCTGATTGACGCTCCCACCAGACTTGAGCTTCCCTAGACCACACCACCTGCATGGGCGTCTTTGCTAAGTGTGCATCTCCTGTCCTGCTTCAAATGTTGAGGCCCCTGTAGCCCAAGAGTCAAAGCTCACTCTTTGAAATTGGCGCTGAAGTCCTTTTCAATCCCATCTCTGCCATATCTCCCAGTGCCCCCAGAATTCCTTGTTGCAGCTGCACCAGGCTTTCTGCAAGGGGTAGGGTAGGAATCAAGGCACCTCCATGAGTGTGCACACCCCGCTCTCACTTTGCATGGTGCTCTTACCCCACCTTTCCCTGCTTAACCTTAACATCCTCCATGACCCTCTTTCACTCACCCTGCATGAAGCCCACCCTCTAACCACATCCCATTTTTCTGTGATGGGTAGACTCGTCTTTGGCCAGGGAATTTTCCAATGCTCTGTGTGTGCCTGGAGTCCAGAGGGATAATGAGGATGTTTAGAAAAAGGAAGTAAGTGGGAGAGGAAGTCCAAAGTCTGCCTGAATTCCTCTGTGATAAGGGCTAGAGGGAGCTGCCCTGGCCCTGGCCCTCAAAGGACAATGATTGACCAGATGGCCCAAGGCAAGGCTGTGGAAAAGAGTTGATGCTATCCAGACCAGAGGTCAGAGATGTAGTCCCATCTGGGAATGTGCTCAGGTCCTTCTGTGGGTCTCCGTTTCCTCTATCCTTCTCCAGATGGGTCTTGTCACATGACAGAGTCATCTTCTAGACCACCCCCAACTCGACACAGAGACGCCCCAGGCTCCTGGATCATCCTGGGGACTCCTATGCCCAGCCTGCTGTCCTCTCCCAGCTGCCTCTCAGGAAGGGCTCTGTAGCTGTGTCACTAGAGGAGCAAAGTTGGCTGGAGAAGTTGACCCTATGTTCTTCCATCCTCAGAGAGCAGCAGGCAGGAGCTGCTGGGACCCCTAGGTCCCCACAGCAATTGGAAAAGAAATATTATTCAGCAAAGTGCATGGCTATAGCCTCAGCTTCAGGGGGCCCAGGAAGAAAGGGCATCCGTTTTCCATACCCCACAAGGCTAGACACTTTGGGTTTCAAGGATGGAAAATTCAACTCGCTCAAGCCATGAATAGATATTGGCTCATGCTGTGGGACACAGTGCTGATTGCAGGCACAGCTGCATCCAGGGGCCTCGCTTTCTCCATCTGTACCCTACCTTTAGTTACTTGGCCTTCATTATCGTGTTCCACTTGTCAACAAAATGGTGGCAGAAACTCCATCCAGTCAGTGGCAAAAGCACTCTCTTGCTGATAGCCTAATCCCAAGTCCCAGGAGTGAGCGTTCTAGGTCTGTGTAGCCTGACTCAGACGACATACCAAGTAGTGTGGCCAGGAGTGCTCTGACTTAGGTCTCTGTCACATGTCAGTCCCCTGGAAGAGAGTTCATGAAGCCTCAGGTTCTACTGGCAGGGAAGGAAGTTGCTTCCAGGATAGCGATGGGGATGTAGCACAGAAGAGAGAAAAGGATGGCAGGAGATGCGAACGACAGATGCCCACTACCTCCTTCCTGCTTTTGTGTTGCCCTGGGCAGCAGGTTAGGAGGGGCAGGAGCATCAGGAGAATGGGAAGGGGCCAGAGGCACAAAGATCCCTATTGCTGGTGGGTGGCAGAGCTGGGAAGGCACCTGGGGAGACACGTGCTCTACGACAAGCGAGGCAGCCCTGTGACGGGACACAAGTCAGGGTGGCCAGGGCCCAGGTTCCTCTCTCAGAGGCCACCTCTGGGATCCACTTGATCACCCTGTCCCCACACCTGAGGATGAGTCAGCCACAGCTCCTTTCCACTGCAGCATCATGAGCATTTCCTTATGGAAAGAGGACCCGCAGGTGCCACGTTCCTTTAAGTCCTCTGTGTTTTCTTTCATTAGTTACCCAAGTAACTGTGCTCTGCTCCATGATAAGTACATGTGGCTTCCAATATGACAAGCTTTAAAGGACTTACCAGCTTGTGACTTTACTCCATTTGGCCAGTAAAAGTAATGGTCCAATGGATCCGCCGCCTGCCTTGCAAGCACAAGATACAAAAAAAAAAAAAAAAAAAAAAAAAAACTAATAGTCCAAGATACAACCCATGTGTGCTTGTAGGTTCTGGACCAGTGACACACAGTGGGTGGGGGTCTGCATGCTGGGAAAGTCCAAAGGGTATCCTGGACAAAGAGGCCTTCCTTAGGCCTGGCCAAGTCAGCCATGGTGCAAGGTGCATGTGGTGAAGTTGGATTCCAGGTGATCCAAGAGGCAACGGGCTCCACAAAGCCTTTGGTGTGGGATGAGGGAGCTCTTTTGGTGGAAGAGGCTCAGCTGTATGACCTTTTAGGCAGCTGCCCACACTCAGCTTGGACCCGTCTGCCTCAATGGCGATGCAGAGCTCACTGCTACCTGTGGTGGACACTCGGGTCAAGGTGCTGTGTACTCTGGTTCCTGCAGGCCAGGAGGAGACCCTTTAAATGAAGGAAATGAGAGGGAGCCTTCCACCTATGCTCTTTCCCCAGACTCATTTCAAGAAACATTCAAGTAAGCTGTGGAGGTGGTTGAGGTCCATTTTTCCTACAGAGAAACAGGCCCAGGGAGACAAAGACCTTGTCCTAGGATAGGAAGAGCAACTTGAAGGACACCCTGAGAACCTCTGGTTCTGGAAAGGTCTTGCTGAGTTCTCACTTCAGGCCCGAATGGGGACTATACCATTTTCTGCCCCAGGCATAGGTGAGGAAACTGATGCAGAGCTGCCACTTTCCTACAGTCAAAGAGACAGGCAGAAGCTGCCACCAGCCCACTGTTCCTCCACCCACCCTTTCCACCCAAGAGCTCTCAAGACCTGGCTGTGTTTGCTTTCTCCTAGATGGCCATCACACACGTTCCCCCCAATGCCATCGTGTCTTGTCACATGTTGTGGCTCACCCTACCCTACTCCCTCGACAGGCCAGGGGTGGGCAGGGCAGATGCTAGGGCTGTTCCATCCTCCTTTCCACCTGGAGGCAGAGGAGGTCTGGTGGATCTTGAGACTTCCTAAGGGGGCCTGTTACTTTCTTGAGCCTCCTGACCTTCAGTAGATCTGGAGTAAGTTGAGTTATTGGGAAGCTCAGAGGATGCAGGGGAAGTTTGGCCAGGAAGGGTTTGAGTCCCCTCTTCGTTTTGGTGAGCAAGGGGCTGACACAGGATCCCAGGATAGGTACAAGGCTGGACAGGCAGCAGATTCCTGGATTCTGCCCAGAAGTGGCCCAAGGACTGGAGGCTGGAATCCAGCTCCCCATAGCAGGATGGCACTAGGTGGTCCACACATCAAGAGAAACCAGGCAAGGACAGGGAACCCAAGCCATGCTGGAGACAGGCAGAGTCCAGCGGGCCAGCTCAGGAGCGGCCCTCGCATCCCTGTCCAGTGGCGGCTATCCACAGAGTCATGGTTATCATAGTAGCAGCACTGAGAGGAAGCCACTAGGAAGCATGACAGTGCCCTCAAACAACGCAGCCTGGGGGCTGTGCACCACAGAGTGGTTACACCCAGTCAGGATCAGGGCGCAGTGGGCTGGATGGGATGCAGTTTGGGGCTAGGGTTGGGGTTCAGTCTGAGCTGGATGAGCTGCAGCCTGCCGTTGAAGTCATGTTTGGGATTCAGTGGGGTTGAGCGGACTGCAGCCTGGCGTTGGTGTGAGGATTCAGCCTGGGTTGCAGTTGGATGGGCTGTAGTCTGGGGCTGATGGGAGTTCCGCCTGGAAGTCAGATCCCCCAGGGTAGGAGCAGCTTCCATCCGCCCTGGCCCCGTTCCTGGTATGGACGTAAGCTGACCGTCGACTGCCTGATGAGCCCCTGCTCTGTCCCCTCCATCTCCAGGGCAGCTGGGCAGCTGGACTGCAGCAGGAATGTGACTACGTGCAGCAGATCGAGAGGGAGCAGCAGGAGTGCCTAGAGGAGGCTCAAGTGGAGAATGAGACTACAGGTGAGAGCCACGGAGGACGGGTTCAGACCCCACAGTGCCTGTGCCACCTCGGGCAGGGGCCCTTCACCCCCGCTGGTCAGGTGGGGTGCCTGGGGCTGACTGCACCCAGAGCGACAGGGTGGTGAGAGCGGTTTCCGCAGACAGCAGACTCCCAGCCCTCCATGCCCGCCTTCCATGCACCACCCCAGGGCTTGGGTCCCAGGCATCAGCTGAGAGGTCGCAAGACCCTGGGTTCTGTCACGCCCCCTCTGCTTTCGGGATCCTGGAAAAGTGGAGGTGATGCCCAGGACACGAGCCCAGGGCTACATGGGAACTCAGAGCCATCGTGGCTCTGCGGAGGGAGAAGGGAGAGCAGGCTGGTCCAGGAGGTTCTGGGAGGAAGCAGGCCCTGCTCCATCTTCCTACCACGCAGCACCCAGAGGATGGGGAGTGACCTCCAGGGCCTCACGCTGCTCCCAGCCAGACATGCCCTCAGCAGGCTGGGGAGCAGCAGAAGAGGTGGCCAGCGGCCCCACCCTGGCAGCAGGGCCATCGCCCCAGATGGCAGCACCCTCCACCGGGGCAGGCAGCCGGGCCCAGGCCAGGTTAGGAATGGGGGCGGGTGGAGAAGCGGAGGGAGGTGGGGGCCGAGGTCAGAGGCCCGAGGTCGGAGATGGGCATGAGGACAGGAGAGGGGCAGCAGGTCAGGGCCTCCCCCATCCTGGTCGGCTCCCCAGGACTGGGTGGCAGTCAGGTAACAGCCTCTCCTGAAATGTCACACACCCCTTACATCTGTGGCTCCCCGGCTCCCTGCCACCTCTTCAGGGCCACAGCTCTATGTCCTGCCCGAGTCCCTCTTCCTGGCTCTGGTGCCAGGCCCTCTGTTTCCTGTAGCCCTCAGTGATAGATGCGGCCTCGCAGATGGGTCCCTAGGCAGGGTGGCCCCTGACTTGGGGGCCCGAGACTGAGGTCTGTGTGCCCCCTCTCCTCCATTCTGCAGGGCAGGAGCAGGCTGGGGACATCGGACAGACCCTGGGCTCCCATGGCAGCCCCTTCCGGCCCAAGCCGGGCCACCTCGTGATCCCAGTGAGGTCACTCCTGGCACTTGTGCTGGTTCAGTGCCAACACCCTGCTTTCAGCAGCAGCCTGGACGGCAGGGGGTGGGGGGCAGGCATGGGTCTGCTGGCTGCTGGGACCTGTGAAACCTGGGGTGACACCCAGTGGGTGCTCCTGGCTTGTGTCCAACTGAGTGTCTCTGCGAGCTGAGGTGTGTCTGTGTCCAGTGTCTGCCGGGCATGCTGTGTCCCCAGGCGTCGTCTCTGGGTGTCTGTCAGGCAGGACATGCAGGGAACACGGTGTGTCTAGGACTCAGGCCGGGTCTCTGTGCCCCTCGGCTGTGTGACCTTTCTGCATGCCGTTGGGCCCGTGTGTATCTGCAGCCCCGAGTGCCCAAGGGCAGCACCCCTGTGAGCCTGCGCTTCTGTAGTGAGAGGGACAGGCTCGGGGAGGGCTCTCCTGCTGGAGTCACAGCCCCCAATGGGCACAGAGGGCCATTCCAGGTACCAAGCACTTTCCTGGCTGCTGCCTCCTCCTGCAGGAAGCTGCCACTGCCGATTGGTGGCCGGTCGGCCCCAGCTCCCGCCCTGCTTGCTGACCTGCACCCCGGCCCAGGCCCAGCCTGTTGTGTGGCTGCTCCTCCCCAGGGCCAGGCCCACCTCCTTCCTTCTGTCCCCCTTCAGGGACAAAAGCCCATCCCAAATCCACCTGAGGCTGGGGCTGGCATCCAGAGAATCAGAAGGCCCATGCCTGGTGGGGACCCAGACACAAAAGGAAGCCTACACACGGTACTCATCGTGGGGCATCAGGAGTGCAGTAAACAAAGTCAGGCAGCAGCAAGTGCCCAGAGAAATGCCTGGGGGCTGGTGAATAGGCTGTACCCCTCAGTGAAAGTGTGACCTCTCTGGGTCAAATCCCGGACCTCAGTTTCAACATCTGAGAAATGGGAGGATTAAATAAGCTGCTCATTTAACGAAGCTAGAACAGCACCAGGCCTGTACCCAGGCTGCGCAAGAGACTGCTGGCATTACTAGTAGGGGCCTAGACACAGCAGGATTTGACTGGCTGGGAGGCCCTTCCTGGCAGAACGGAGGAGGGACAGAGGGATCCCACTAAGGCTGGGAGCCAGGTGGGGAGGCCCCAGAATGCAGGTGTGGCCCTGGGCTTCCAGCTGCAGAAGCCACCTGCAAGCACCGCCCACCGCACCTCCACCTGCGCTGTGCCTCCAGTCCGCAAGCCAAGGTTCTTCCCCAAGGCGCACAGCCCTCCACGCCTCTTCCCAGGCCTCTGCCTTGGGAACTGGTGAACCTTCGGACCTGGGCTGGGCTGGGCTTGGCCCAGCTGGCGTTGACTTTGGCTCTGGGGTTGGGTTTCCTGAGCAAATCTATGGGCCTGGCAGGGCTGCAGAGGGGCCATTAAGCTTCCCCGGGGAGGAGGCCTGGAGGAGTCCAGTCCCTCAGGGCCACTGGGGTGCTGGAGAGGCAGAGCCACAGTGTAGGCATCTGCCCGGGCCCCTGCAAGGCCCAGAGCTCCCTGGCGGAGGTCACAGCCTGACCCCCATCACTGCTTAGTCTCACCGAGCTGCGGACACTCGGGTCGTTTTCAGGTTATGCAAAGATACCCAAGAACTGGCTGTAGCCCAGTACGCTCGTCAGCCCACCAGACCTAACATCTCCTTTTGTAACAGGCATTTTCTAATGCTGCCTTTACAGTGACAAAATGAAATTCAGAAAACACACATATAGATCTTCTTAAAAACTGACGGTCTATAATAGGCCCCCTTGGGATAAGTCTTGCTCCTGGGTGTGGAATCACAGCCTTGTTTGTGTCTGCAGAGTGGAATCTGTCCGCATCGTGGAAATGTTTAGAGCTGCTGCTGCTAATTTTGCAATAGGAATTTTGAAATCAAAACGTCAGTTTTCTAACAAATCATGCAACTGAAGGCTACTCCTTGTGATGCCAAAAGAAAATGATGTTCTAGCTGTAATGTAAAAGAAGAAATGGTCAGGGCTGGGGATTTAGCTCAGTGGTGCTGCCACCTGCCTTGCAAGCACAAGGTCCCGAGTTCACCCCAGTACCTATCAAAACGTCAGTTTTCTAACAAATCATGCAACTGAAGGCTACTCCTTGTGATGCCAAAAGAAAATGATGTTCTAGCTGTAATGTAAAAGAAGAAATGGTCAGGGCTGGGGATTTAGCTCAGTGGTGCTGCCACCTGCCTTGCAAGCACAAGGTCCCGAGTTCAATCCCCAGTACCAAAAAAGAAAAAAGAAAAGAAACAGTTATAAAAGTGATCTATATATGTTCAGTCATGACTGCACGGGAGATAAAGGAGACAGTCTGAAGGTTGTACCTATAAATATAAACGCCAGGAGTGTGAGCACCATAAAGGAAGATTGATGTGTACAGGTGCCTGTAGCCGTGACTCAGATATCCCAGCCAGCCTGGCTGTTGGGACATGATTTTCCAAAACACAGAACAGTTCTTGCTAAAGTTCTGGACACGCTGTCTCTTCACCCAGCACTGCATCCCTGTGAGAGCCCCACATGTGTCCAGCCTGGGCAGTGAACACCTTGGGATGGAAAGAGCGAGAGCCCAAGGGCCCCACACTGCCAAAGGTGTCCACGGACACAAAGGCACAGGGGCCCCCTATGACACAACTCCTCGCTGTGCCCACCCTGGCCTGGCATCCCGGTGCCGGCCCCATCGCTGTAAAACGAGACCCCTCCTGTGCTCACAACACCACAGAAGGAGCCTGGCAGAGGAGCTAGAAAGGACTGCTGTGGGCTCTGTCCCCGCAGACCTGCTGACCAGCGTGTCCTCTTCCTCCACTTCACAGGCTGCGGCAAGATGTGGGACAACCTCACCTGCTGGCCGGCCACCCCACGAGGCCAAGTGGTCATCCTGGCCTGTCCCCTCATCTTCAAGCTCTTCTCCCCCATGCAAGGTGAGAGTCCCGGGCAGAAGGCGGGGTGCTGGGTGGGGACATGGGCCAGAGGTGCTGGAGCCACCCAGGGGCTCCCTGGCAGAGGAGGTGATGGTGCTGGGTATTTGGAGGACTTCTGGGCTTTGATTAGCTCCTCACCTGAAGATAAGCCTGTGGGAAGGACTCGCCAAATATTTGCTCAGCAATTGATAGCTGGCTGACTGACAGGCACTTAGTGAGCGTTAGACTGGCTGGCCCTCAGGATTCAGCCTTGCTGCCTGGAGCCAAAGCTGTGGGGGACCCTTGAGAGGTACAGCTGCTTCCACCCCTTGCTGTCTCACACCCCAGGGCTGGGCGGCTCCAACATGAGACCCCATGCCGCCACCCTCCCCTGCTCCATGGAAGAGGCACCTGTGAGCCACGGGCACCAGGCTGGGCACCATGAGGGGCCTCGAAGTGGCCACTGCCTGCCTGCTGGGGGCCAGGCCCTTGGTCCGGGGGACAATCAAAGGGTGTGGGAGGCACCGGGAGTGCTGCAGGGGGACCACACAGGCAGGTGTCAGAGGTGACACTGCCGAGGGCCAAGACCTGGAGGGCACCAGAGGCCTCAGGACCCGGGGAAGGTGGGTGGAGTGTGGCTGGGCAGAGCTGGGGCCACCAGCGGAGAACCTGGGGCTGCGTCCTGGTCCACTCAGAAGCCACGCGGGTGTGCACAGAAACTGTTGCACTTTGGGCTTGGCTTGTGGTGGACAGTGCTGTGCTGGCTCTGAGGGAGAACTGGGGTGGGGGGTGACTCCTCGTCGCCTAACACCTGGGAAGGTGGCTTCGAGGAGGAAAGTTTACTGGGGCCCCGACTGGCTGCTGCTTCCAAGCAGAAGTCGTCCTGGTGGACAGGTATGGGGAGGAAGGGTGCAGAAAGGGGGAAAAGCAGAAAGGGGCAGGGAGAAGCCATGTCCCTCCAGCTGCCCCAGGACCTGCTCCATCTGGTTAGCCCCGCCCCCTCAGCCCTGTGACCTATGACCCCATTGGTGGGTTCATCCACTGAGGAAGAGCCCTCCCAGCAAGCCCCAGGAGGCCCAGCAGCTAAGGCCAGGCCTTCCACACCAGGAGTCTTCGAGCCTGAGTAGTGGCACAAGCTTCTACTCTCACCTGCTGGGGAGGCTGGAACAGGAGGATCTAGAGTTTGAGATCGGCCTGAGCAACTCAGTGAGACCCTGTCTCAAAAGAAATATTTTAAAAGGTCCAGGGATGTAGCTCATAAGTAGAGCACTTGCCTAGCATGTGAGGACCTGGGCTTCAATTCCCAGCATTGGTTAAAGACAGAAAAATGTCTTGTGGGACATGGAGGTTCCATCCTAGCAGGAGGACTGAGGAGGAGCAGGGTGGGGGCTGGGGTGACTTGGGGTGGCCCCCGATGTGTTTCCAGTGTCCCACAGGTGCTCTGGTCCCCTCCCTGAGCCCCAGTTCCCTGTCTGTGAAGCAGGGCTGGGGTGACCAGATGGCCGCAGAGGGTGGGCGTGCGCAGGCTAAGGCTGCACCTGAGAACTGGACTCCAGCCCACCCTCAGGCTGGCCTGAGGCTGTGGGGTGCTCCTCAGGAAAAAGGGTGCTCCCTCAAGCAGAGCCCTGGTCAGCACAGCACACCTGGGGCCGGCTGAGCGCGAAGCTGTCATCAGTCAGATGCCTTTGTGCAGTGGACAACCTGAGAGGCTGTACTCGGGCCTAGTTCTGAAAATGAGTGAGAAATAGTGGCTTGGGGCCGAATGTGTTTTCCTGCGTAACTAGACGACAACGAAGGTGGGGCAAGTGCCCTAAAACCCCAAATCGGGAAGTCTGTAGGGTGGGGTGGGAACAGTGCCAGCCCCAGCGCTTCCCCTGTGGGGAACAGGATGGCGTGCCCGGGAAGGGCCTGGCTCTGCAGGAAGCTGAGAAAGCTCATGGTGGGAAGAATCCAGGGGCAGAGGGAGCCGCCTGGTGAGCAGGATGAGACCTGGAGGAGGGCGGCGGACACGGCCTCCCTCCCAGCTGGAGCCCCCGTCCTTCAGCTGTGGCGCTTTTATCTTCAGATACCTAAAGGGACGCATTTAAACAAGTAGAAGCACCACGCTGGCCGTAAAGCAAGAGACCGTGTTAGCCATGCTTGCGGGGCACATGGGAGACGCCAGGCCCTCACCGCCCAGTCCTGAGGCTGTGAACGGGGGGCCCCGTGCCAAGCTCAGAAGCCTGCCCTTGCTGCCTGGGGTGGGGCACCCCAGTCAGGCCTGGGCCAGAAGCGTCCCCCCACTACCGTGGTGGAAGAGGACCCGTCCAGGGTGACGAGAGGGTGGGGTGTTAGGAAGAGGGGCTGCTGGGGGAGCAGAAGAGAGGAGAGAGAGGAGTCCAGAGAGGGCAGGAGCTGTTTTCACTGAGCATGCGACCCCGCCCACCTGCCTGTGCCCTGCAGGCACTGAGCCACTGCTTCCCAGGGTCCCCTCAGGAGCTGCTCCCTGAGGCTGGCCTGGACAGAGGCCAGCCTCTGAGTTGACCCCTGAGCCCTCCCACCGCCCCAGGGCAGCCAGGGCCCGCTGTCAGGAGCCCAGAAGGACATGGGTCAGGCCAGCAGGGTCTGTGTACCGGGCCGGCAGCTCCCTTGACCACGTTCCGTGGTGACATGGCCTCTCCCTCGCCTAGCACAGGACCCAGGCCCAGATCTGCTCAGAATGGGGCTTCAGTACCCAGCTTCAAGGCCAGTGCCTTGGGGCTCGGCCCCCTTTTCTACTCGCCCAGGCCTGGGGAGGGGTCCCTAGAAGAATCAGGGCCCAAATGGGAGGCACCCGGGCAGCTGCAGGGCCTCAGTGAGCAAGCAGGGCCATCCCTGTGCTGCAGCCACAGCCCCAGTCCTGCCTGTCCTGGCCCTGGCTAGCCTCGAGGCCTATGGTGTGGCTCCCACGTTGGTGCCTTTTAAGGCAAGGCCACTGCCCGGACTCCTCACACCAACGTATTAGGGGTCCCCAGCCATTCCCTCTGCTCTCTCCGGGACACCTAAGCCCCAGAAGCCACGGCCCTGCCTGCCTGAGGAGCAACTCAGCCTGGAGAGCAGGGCGCAGCTGAGGGCGTGACACGGACCAGTTTGTGTTGCACTTGGCATCAGCTTCCACTGGTACAGGCCTTAGTGTCCACTTCGATGCTATCCCCAGGTGTCCCAAGGCGCCTTGAGTCAGGGCCACTGGGGCCTCACAACCCCCGGTTGGAGGAGTCAGGCCAGGTCCTCTGCCTGCTGCCCAGCATAGGGAGAGCCACACGCTGTCCCCACACCAGGCCTGGGCCTCCTCCTGCCCCAGCCTCTGTCCCCTGCCCCCTCCCCACCCAGGCCGCAACGTGAGTCGCAGCTGCACCGCCGAGGGCTGGACTCAGCTGGAGCCTGGACCCTACCCCACCGCCTGCGGCCTGGATGATGAAGCGTCCAGTCTGGATGAGGTGGGCACTGTGCCCCTGCCCTGCCCAGCCCTTGGGGACTATCCAGGACAGCTGCCCAGAGCAGCAGACGCAGATGCTGCCCAGGAGCCAGGCCACCGCTCCTCACTGCGGCCTGGGGTGCAGGGTGGGAGGGGAAATTGAGGTTCAGATGTCCAGCATCAGGTGAGGCAGGGTGCAGGGCTGATGTCCCCGACAGGTGTCTCTGAAGGTGTCTCTGAAGGGTGTGGCTTGCGGACGAGGTAGGGGGCGCTAGGCGAGTGCAGCCTCAGCTGGGAGCCCTTCAGCGGCCCGTGTCCGTGTTCATGACACCGGCCAGCCCCAAGGGAGCCCCGTCTCCTCGGGGACCTCCAAGCCTGTGGCCTTGATTCCTCTGACTCCGCCAGGTGGGAGCGAGAGGGGAGGGGCGCACATGACCCGGGGATGGGAAGAGGGGACAAGCGGAAAGCCTCGGGGGCCAGGATGGTGCTGCCTTCTCCGGGAAGGCCAGACTGCCTCCCGGAGCCCCTTCTCCGGGAAGGCCAGACTGCCTCCCGGAGCCCCAAAGGGAAAGAGCCCCAGCGTCTCCTTGTACATCCTGCAGCCCGGCATCCCCCAGCCACACAGGAGCAGCAGTCTCAGCCCAGGGCTGGCACAGAAGGGGCACAGAGGGGAGGGCTGCCCCGGGTGACTCATCACTGGCCAGGGCAGAGGGGTTGCCCCACCCCCAGGACACAGTCCTGTCCCATCCCTGGGCAGTGGAGCTGCTCTGGGCCGCAGAGTCCCCCTCAAGGGCAGGGCCAGTGCAGCATCTGAGCTGAGCCCCTACCCAAGACCTCGCCGTGCCCTCCAGCAGCAGCAGACCCTGTTCTATAACTCAGTGAAGACCGGCTACACCATTGGCTACAGCCTGTCCCTTGCTACCCTCCTGGTGGCCACGGCTATCTTGAGCCTGTTCAGGTGAGGCTGAGTCCAGGACCTGGTCTGTATCCCTCCCCAGGGTGGGCACAGCCTGGCCAGCCTTCCCTGCCCCTCTGCCAGAGTCTCTGGATGGGGGGTGAGTCAGAGTGCCTCGGGGCTGCCCTGGAGGAGGGTGGTGCTGGCGGGGTGGGTTTGAGGCCCCTGTGCTCAGCTGTGCTGCCCCTAGGAAGCTGCACTGCACCCGGAACTACATCCACACCCACCTCTTCGTCTCCTTCGTCCTGCGGGCCGCTGCTGTCTTCATCAAGGACCAGGCCCTGTACCACAATGGGGAGTCGGACCAATGCTCCCAGGGCTCGGTGAGGCTCTAGCCCCACCTGTTTCTTCTGGATTCCTCCTGTCCCTGCTTCTCCTCCCGTGGCATCTTCCCTCCTCTCTCTAAGAAGCCTCGGCCATCAGAGTGCTGGCATGCTGGTGGACCTGGCTGCCGTCATGCTGCCTCTGTTGCTGCATTTCCGTGAGGCCTCCTTGCCTCAGTTTCCCCATCCGTTCGAGCTCTCCCTGTCCTGCTCCCCACCCTGACCCTCTGCAGCCTGGCTCCGCCCACCGCGCGCCTCTGCTCCTCACCCCTCCGTTGCATCTGCCAGACCAGGCCACCCTGGGCAGGAGGATGAGGCGCCCAGGGGCTCTCGCAGGTGTCCCCGGGCTGGGACAGAGAGTGCCAGGCCAGCCTGCGGCCAAGCGTTCACCACGTTCTTGGTGACCCCAGCGCGCAGCCACGTGGGTAGAGTCTGGGACTTCTTTAGGGCGTGGACCCACAGCCCCACACTTGTTGGGGGGATTGGGGAGGTGGTGTCCCTTTCTCTCCCCAGCAGCTCTGACGCTTTTCTCAGGGAACTGGGCTATGACAGAGCCGAGGCTGCTGTCCTGGGGCCCAGCGGGTGCTCACGCGCACGCGCACGCACACGCACACGCACACATGCACACACGCACACGCACCTCGGCTTCCTGTTGGAGAGGCGCTGCGGGTACGTGGGTAGAGTCTGGGACTTCTTTAGGGCGTGGACCCACAGCCCCACACTTGTTGGGGGGATTGGGGAGGTGGTGTCCCTTTCTCTCCCCAGCAGCTCTGACGCTTTTCTCAGGGAACTGGGCTATGACAGAGCCGAGGCTGCTGTCCTGGGGCCCAGCGGGTGCTCACGCGCACGCGCACGCACACGCACACGCACACGCACACATGCACACACGCACACGCACCTCGGCTTCCTGTTGTAGAGCAGAGCTGCGGGGAGAGAGGGAGGGAAGGAAGCCCACCTGTGGTGGGGAAAGCTGTAGAAGGACTTCCCAGGCCTGGGAGGGCAGAGCACACTGCTATGGAGGAAGCAAGGGCTGAGCCTGTGCCCTAGGTTCCAGGACAGAAGCAGAGGCCTGCTGAGAGACACAGTTCAAACCCCGGCTTCCAGGCATCCGCGCTCCGTGTGCCTGGCCTTCCCTCGAGCTGCTGTCCTCACCTGCCGGGACACTGCTCTTCCCTGGCTCCTGTGGCCCTTCCCTGACGGCCCCTTCCCTCTTCTCCTCTCCCCTCTTCTCTGCCTGGCCTCCTGCCATCCTCCCTTCTGGGCACAGCTCGGCCCACACCCACAGCCGGGATCCGCAGCCAGCCCCTCCCCTCGAGCGTCGGCCGCTCCCAGCCTAATGGAATCAGCGTAGTGGATGAAGGCGGGGGCCGAGAGGATGGGCAGGTTGACTGGTGCCCAGCAGGTGGAAGGAGAGAGGAGGGCTAGACAGAGGACGGCAGTGGCAGCTGGGGCGGGCAGCAGACGCGGGGAGAGGCGAGTGGTGAGGGGAGAGTGGACGGGTCCCAGGAAGGTGAACGGGTGCGGGGTGGCTGTGGGCAGTAGCAGACAGGAGCAGGTTGGTGGCGAATGTCGTGTGGTAGATGGACACATAATTAAAACACATCTGGTAAGCTAAACATCAGGGATCATGGGGAAACCTGGGGTCATGGGGGGGCTGGAGGCATGGGGTCCCCACCCCAGCAAGCCCTCTCCCCCGCAGGTGGGCTGCAAGGCGGCCGTGGTCTTCTTCCAGTACTGCGTCATGGCCAACTTCTTCTGGCTGCTGGTGGAGGGGCTGTACCTGCACACCCTGCTGGCCGTGTCCTTCTTCTCTGAGCGGAAGTACTTCTGGGGGTACATTCTCATCGGCTGGGGTATGGTACCCGGGAGGGCTGCCAGGCTGGGGACAGAAGGGAAGGGCCTGGGCGCCCCCAGGGGAGGTACCCCCATCTTTGGTCCTGCTGGTGATAAACGTCCCTGGGGCGGGACCCTGGGCAGGGCCTAAGGCTGCTCTGCAAGTGGACCCAGAACAGCCCTCCCTTTCCCTGCAAGGAGCCCCTCGAAGTTAGCAAGGGCTGTGCTCTGGGGCCGTATCCACCACCTCTCAAAACAGCGTCTCTGTCCAGTGAGCACCCCAAGCAACTGCACCTGGCAGTCCTGAAAGCTCGCTCTTCCTCCCCCCCCCCGTTCTTTCTCCTGAAATGCCCCTCTGCCTGCTCTGGTGCCCTCTTCTCTTCTCTCTTGCCCCTTCGGCCCCGGCAGGGGTGCCCAGCACATTCATCATGGTGTGGACTGTCATCAGGATCCACTTTGAAGATGACGGGTGAGTGGTCACCCTGCCCCTCCCCCGGCTGCCAGCACCGGGCCTGGCCCTGGGGGAGGGGACACCTGGTGGAGCCCAGGGAGGAGTGGGGAGTTGGCGGAACACCTGGCCCTGGCTAAGGACAGGCTCTCCCCACCGGCCTGCAGGTGCTGGGACACCATCAACTCATCCCTGTGGTGGATCATCAAGGCCCCGATCCTCGCCTCCATCTTGGTGAGTTCCCGTGGAGATGGGGGAAACTGAGGCCCTTCGGGACCTGGACCTGAGCGACACAGCTGGGACTGGGCTTCCCTCCAGCCCGTGCCACCAGAGTTACTCCTCGAGTGACCAGAGTGGGGCCGGTCCCGGGGGACCTGCCTGAGGGGCAGCAGCGAGGGGGCACACAGCCAGGGCCGACACCCCAGAACCTCTGCCCACACCCCAGGTGAACTTCGTCCTGTTCGTCTGCATCATCCGGATCCTGGTGCAGAAGCTGCGGCCCCCGGACATCAGGAAGAACGACAGCAGCCCCTACTCGTGAGTATGGCCCAGGCCCGCGCTCCATCCCTCTCCGAGTCACCCCACATCCTCTCCCAGGCCCCACCCGAGCCTCCAGAGTCACCAGAAGCCGCAGTGCCCTCCTGCCTCGGCCCCCACAAGCCTGCACTGTGTGCCCATCCCTGGCACAGAAAAGGGGTGCAGTAAACGGACTCTGATGATACCCTGGGGGCCCTATGCTCCCTGTAACAGCCATGGCACCCCAGTTCCTGTGCCCAGCCCATGCCCTAACCCCTCCACACCGTCCCTGGAACCGACCCCATCCACAGAGGACACCGGCAGCCACAGGTCTGCAGAGTGGGCGGGGCAGGCTGGAGAGAGGCGGGTTGGAGGTACAGGGGTCTGGAGGTGGGGCCGGAGCCCCCAGGGAAGCCTTTCAGCCAGGGAGCCTCGGCCTGGCCCTCCTTGGAGAACAGGCAGGTCTGAGTTCCAGCGGGGCTGTCACGCGCCAGCTTGATTTAGGATTCTATTCTGGAATCCTGGGATTCTCAGATGAGATGCAGCTCACATTCTCTCCGCCCACACGACAGCAGAGGGAGCGTCCCTTCCACTGGAGGAGGGGGCCGAGGCCTGCACCCCACCTGTGCACCCTCTTCCTCAGCTCCCCCACCTGATGCTCAGCCGGACTGTAATCTGCAGCAAGGGCCCGGGCTGGTCATCACCAGGCCAGCGGGCATGAACTGGGCAGGGAACGGCTGGCAGCAGACAGAGGGGAGCTGGGGCTGCACTCCATGGGGAGGGCTGTGGGCTCCCACTCGCTCCGCTGTGAGCCTCAGTTAAGGAAAGCCTCCATCTGCTGGCTGCACAGTGCGTGGGATAGGTTTGTGCCAGGAGAAGTGGGCAGCGCTCAGGATCCTGGCATGGCTGGGAGCCAGGCCTAGGAATGGGGTGGCAGGAGGAGGCTGAGGTTCCTCAGCCCGGAGCTTGGCATGGGGCCTCACGCCCAGGCTGGTGATGCCCCTGCCCAGACCTCCTGGGCTCACACGGAGTGGACCAGCTCGGAGTTAGCTGCCCAGGACAGAGCCACGACGAGCTCTGTCCACAGAGGAGAGTGCAGAGTGCACACTGCTGCTTCTGGGCACAGGCTGGGAAGCTGGAGCCGGCCCGTGGCACCTGGGCGTGGGCATGGGGGGGCATGTCCTGGAGAAGCAGGCACAGAAGAAAAGCCAGGGACCTAGGGTGGTGCTGCCAGTCCCAGGCTCCCTGGTGACCGGGCACAACTTGGGCACTCGCCGCCCACTCTCCAGGTGGCCTGGGGTGGGGTCAGTGCCCAACTGGAGAGACCCCACCCAGGGAGGAGCTGGCCCCCGCAAGGTGGCCCGGGTAGCACCCTGAGCCTTGAGCTTCCCACGGGCCAGGTCTGCAACAGGACAAGTGGGCACTGACCCAGGGTTCAGAAGGGAAATTGAGACCAGGAGAGGAGCCAGGGTCTCAGTGCCTGGGAACAACTGCCTGGCGGCTGAAACACATCCTGAGCTGTCCTCTCAGGAAGGGCTCACAGGGCGGTCTCCATCTGTCCGGGAGGCTGAGCACAGGGCAGTGATGCTGTGGCCACTGCAGGAGCCAGAGCAGGCCAGGTGTGCGGGGCAGGTGGTATGGCCTGCACACTCAGCCCACGGTTCCCGTCCCCAGGAGGCTGGCCAAGTCCACGCTGCTGCTGATCCCCCTGTTCGGTGTACACTATATCATGTTTGCCTTCTTCCCCGACAACTTCAAGGCCGAGGTGAAGATGGTCTTTGAGCTCGTTGTGGGGTCTTTCCAGGTAGGTGCTGGGGCCAGGACATGGCTCGTCCCCCTGCAGGGAGCTGTCCTGGCCGGCCGCATGCTGGCTGGGGCTTCACTGTAACAAGTATTGACCGCGCACTTCCTTGGCGCCTGGGGTTTGCGTCCTCACCTGTCCTGTGCCTTCCTCCCAGGGCTTTGTGGTGGCCGTCCTCTACTGCTTCCTCAATGGTGAGGTGAGCCCCTCCTGGGTTGCGGGGTGTGTGTGAGCAGGGGTGGGTGACGCCCTACTTCCCCGGTATGTTGTCCCATTTCAACCGAGCCTGCTCACAAACGCAGCTCTCCAAGGACACCCCAGGCCTGCCGCCTCGGAATCTGACAGCCCTGATGTGGGCAGTGGGGCAGATGCTGGTTAGGGCTGTGTGCATGTCGGGGTGGGGTGGCTGGGAGCCGGAAAGATGGGTGGGTGGGAAGAGTGGGGTACAGCCCCCAGGCCGCATCCCCACCTCGGGGACCAGCCCAGGCTGACTGCACCGCCCACGGCAGCACCTGGGTCTCTCGGGTTAGTCTTAGACCCCGGCTCAGCAGGAGGCGGAACCGGAAGGAGCGGCGCTGACCCACTCCCTCTCCAGGTGCAGGCAGAGCTGCGGCGGAAGTGGCGGCGCTGGCACCTTCAGGGCATGCTGGGCTGGACCCCCAACTCGCAGCCGGCTTGGGGCGGC